TATGACTATGACGATGATGATGACTATGACTATGACGATGACTGTGACGATGATGATGACGATGTTCATAAAAATGTCTGTTATAAGATAATGCGTTTAACGCCACCAGCGAGTGTACTTCATTTGTTGACGTATTCGTGCTATAGATACTAGGATAAAAACAAGAACTATTAATACATTACGTAATTCTAATAAATGTAATATGTATTATTAACTCTTGATTAAACCCAATTAACTATAGATACTAGAAGAATTAGTCTAGAGATATTAATTCTTTTAGTGTCTTTGGATAAGCCGACAATCTCAAAATAACACACTTTGATTTGTTGCGCTGGAGTGTGGACACATATCACTGCAGGTTTTCGTTTATTGGATCTCATGATGTCATACTGAGTGTATGTGAAAACACGATGCTATATAACGTGTAAGCGACGTAGCGGGTGGACATGTTGAGCGTCGTTCCCGTTTAGTTGGGTCTCCCACTGGTTCGTCACACGAGACAAGATGGATATCCTCTCGAGGAAAATGGATATCTTGTATTATGATTCATTGTACTGTATAATGTATGTATTGTATTGTATTGTATTGTATTGTATTGTATTGTATTGTATAATGAACACGTAAAATGGATATCCTTGTCTACTGAAGTAGATTACCACAAGTCTGAAAATACTGCAGATGAGATTTAGATTACCTACTCGTGATGATATGAATTGCATTTACTGTGTAAATGCTTGTATATACGTACGAAAATAAAATGTCGTCTTTTGCCAAAAGTCTAAACTAACTTTCTGAACAAATAATTCCGCGGTTATCTTCCCGTCCCTGCGTTTTGCAGCCGCACATGTAGGGGGCAGTAGCACATAGAAATTTTCTGGCAGTTTGCAGAATTTACAAGCTGCAATCTTAGTATAGATTTTTTTACTCTTGACCTTTGACTCCCCAAACCAGTTTTACGCTGCTTCCGTCATTTGATATTCTCCTAGCGCTACCCATCGTAGCGTATCGACTATGAATTACCTAAGTACAGGGGTTGTACAGAATGACCTAAGTACAGGTGTTGTACAGATTGGCGAGGCTTGGCGTTGTCACACTTGCTTGTACGGACGGACATACCTAGCTCTACCCGTGTAGCCCTTCTCTCCCGCTACAGGGATGTATAAACAACATAGCTCTACCCGTGTAGCCCTTCACTCCCGCTACAGGGATGTATAAACAACATAGCTCTACCCGTGTCGCTCCTGCTACAGGGATGTACAAACAACATAGCTCTATCCGTGTAGCCCTTCTCTCCCGCTACAGGGATGTACAGACCAACATAGCTCTACCCGTGTAACCCTTCACTCCCGCTACAGGGATGTACGATCAACATAGCTCTACCCGTGTAGCCCTTCACTCCTGCTACAGGGATGTACAAACAACATAGCTCTACCCGTGTAGCCCTTCACTCCCGCTACAGGGATGTACGATCAACATAGCTCTACCCGTGTAGCCCTTCACTCCCGCTACAGGGATGTACGATCAACATAGCTCTACCCGTGTAGCCCTTCACTCCTGCTACAGGGATGTACGATCAACATAGCTCTACCCGTGTAGCCCTTCACTCCCGCTACAGCTATGTACGATCAACATAGCTTTACCCGTGT